ATATATGATGAGAAACACACACGCTTTAATTAAAAAATGGTCTCATGTCAACTCTGCGAAACTGCAGGAGTAAACTTGAAAACTATATGCACCCATTTCTTTTTTCCGATTCTGAAGAAAGGACAACAAAAAACTGAAACCTACATAACTGAAAAAAACCACACTGAGGAAATATAAACAGTCATTTCTAATTTCCACATTTTACAATCAATGGTAAAACATACCATTCAAAAATGTTCTGCAGAGGTTTTAAATCGTAATCATAAAATAAAATGAATAAATAAACTGTTGCAGAACTAGGCATGAATGACAAATACTGTACATGGTTTTTAAATATATATATATATATATATATTTTTTTTTATTATTATTATTATTATTTTGTTTTTTTTATCTATATCAAACACAGTCTCTGCCTTGTGTATCAGTTATGTAAAAGGACTGCCTTATTTCATAAAGCTATAAAATAGCAGTTTGTACCACTTCTAAACATTAAGGGATGCACACATTACTTTATCATACCACTTATGTTAGACACACACACAAAAAAAAAAAAAAAAAAAACAGAATCATGGGAATTGTAGTTCAAAGTCTGCCTGCTTAAGCGGTTACAAGGCAGGTTAATACACCACACAGGCAGTGTTCTACAACTTCAAATCGAAACATACAATTACCTTTTTAATTGTAACTGATGTAGGGGCTTCTAAACCTATGTTGTATTTCACAATGACCTGTCAGAAACACATATCAATCTCAGTGTCACTGATCACATCTTAGGACATAGTACTATGCAGAGATACCAAGGGTAGGATCATATACAGCACTCTCTCTATGACAAATCATACCAAAACAGAATGAACTGTGCTGCAGGGGCCTATACACACGGATAACAACCCAACAGTCACGTCAATGATATCCTGATCATAGCTGTATCTTCCCCTGTACTGGCTGTGCATGATCTATCTGTAATGAGGTAGGAGATGCTCACAGCAAATGGGGGTCATTGAAAATAGAAGTAGAATTACAGCCACTAATGGGTTATCTGTGGCAGACAACAAGTACTAGCCACCAGTCTTCCTCAAATGAAAACTACTGGTGTTCTATACCATTCCCAACCCTACATTAACTATGTAATTGGACAACAAGTGCAATAGTGAGAGTGAAACAAAACACTAAAGAACAGCTGCAGAGCCTATTTCTGGGGACTATGTCCTTTTTTTGAAGGCAGATATAGAATAGAGTAGAACAGTTTCACCTTGGATTAGATCAGGGATTAGGACTAGATCATAGAAGACAAAGATGCTACATTTAGAACCTTCACACGATCAATGCCATCACCATAACAGCAAAACTCCCCAACATGGAGTGTTGCTTAAAAGCTTTATCATCAGAACTACAATATTGATTTTGTGCAGGAACCAATAACCATTATACCAATAGGACACACATGCAAACAGGGATGCACACACAATTGCTTCTTGCCAACATGTGCATCACAGTAACAAGTGTGCAGTATAATACACTTCTACTACTGTACATCACAAAAAAAAAAAAAAAAAAAACGCACTGACTATGTACCCATGTATATGCAGAATCCAAAATTGCTTATTAGGATGTAATACATGCTACATGATACATGCTCTATGGGGGGGGCGGAGAAGAAAAATAAATAAAAAATAAAAAAAATTGTAGAGAAGGGCAAAACGAATTGCAAATTTAAGGCCAAAACAACCAAACTGGAAGTATTACAGAAACCATGTTATGTTATTTTTCCCTTTTAACCTACTTGGCCTACAAATTGCAATTCAACAGTCAGTGATCCAAATTTCCTGTTTTAGCAAATAAACTCCAAATATTTATATATTATAACATTCTATTACCAACAAAACTTCATTCAACTGAAATATCTTTACATGCCAAATAAGTATAAAAGTCTAAATTTAGGATTTTTCTAAATCTGTACATAGTGGCAAAATGTTCACATTTGAATTAACCACATCAATACAAATATGCCATCATCCCACCAAATAATATCCTGACAGCAGATTTAACTGTGGCCTCCTGCAACAGAGTACTGTTTTGAGCAAAGTGGCCAATTAAATGCCATCAGTGATTCGCAAAGGGTTTAGGGATGCGATAAGCAAGATAATATTTATAAAAAAATTTTTAAAAAAAAAGGGACTAAAAAGATACATATTTCAAAGAAATAAGGCGGAAGTGACAAAACGAAAATTTGACTTTTTTTTCTCTCAAGTTATGTAAAATTCAAAACTACTTTAATATTTATGTTACTGAATCTAGAAAACCAGGCCTATTAAAATTTTATATATTATATATATATATATACACACATACATACATACATACATACATACATACACACACACACACGTTTGATACCCATGATGCAATGCACCCAGCGTCAGGAGGGCAATGGCAGCCTCAGAAGCGATGCCAGCAACTCACAATGACAGGGGGCACCTGCAACTTGCACCCACCCATTGTCTGTCACTGCAGAGAGCATGGTTGTCCCCTGCATGGCACACTGTATGGAGCGTAAGGGCGGAAATGGTAAGTGACATCATGGCCCCTGCACTCTCTTCTTAAGCAAGCGTTATAAAGCGGTATAAAAGGCAGGGAGGACTGCTAGGTATGCTGAAAGGGGGCTGGTGGAGAGATACAAGGGGTAGCAAGATCAGAGGTTGCATTGTATCTGTGGCTGTGAATGAGAGTGTCTAAATGTTTGGTTGAGTGTGTGTGTCAACCTATGAGTAATATATAACTGAGTCTGTATCTGCGTTTGTGAGATTTAAGGTTGTGACTATATATCTGCATTTGAGTGTTTATCTGTGTACCTCTGTGTGTTATATATATATATATATATATATATATATATATATATATATATATTAAAAAAGGGACCATATGTACCAGTACTACAGTTTAATGTAGTAGTTTTAGCTCAAATAGACTGTCTATGGCACCATCTCCATTGTAAACACTGCCTTTTCTGTGCAGTTTTCACATTTATCCCCAAGAACACATATAGTGCTCTCTCTCAAACAACCACTAGAGATGCTTCCTATTAAGGTCCTGCAATATTTGCAGGACAGACATTCAGCATTCTTAAGCTCTGCAAGAAGTTGCCGAACACTCCCCATAAAGATGTATTGGTACAATGCACATCTATATATAGACATGCTTAATGGGGAATCACTGGATTGGCTGAGATCATCACTGATTATCTCAGCGATGTAGAAAGGCAGCTGTGATGAGGCATTGGGGGTGGTTAATTAAATGATGTCCATAACACTTGGCTCAACCCTACATATGTGACATAACATTGTGGTAAGTTAATAAAGTGTTTGAGACAAGGAACCATAAGATGGGGTGGCAATGAAAGATTCTCAGCTGACAGCTGTTACAGAACTACAATTACCATGATGATTTGCCAGCATTAAGAGATTTATGGTTGTACAACAGCTTGGCATTTACCATGTTTTTTTTTTTTGTTTTTTAATTCAAACTTTAGTAGGAGAAAAAAAATGCTGCATAGTTCAACTCGTCTTCAACAAGTTAAAAGAAAAAGTGAGATTATACAATAGGAAACATACCCTACACAGTATTTATTCATTTGCATGAGACGTTTATTCACAAGCAACACAGCACCATCCTTGCACATGTACAAGTGGCCTTACTTCTTTTTAACACTGTGTCCCCTTTACAAGATTTTTAATATTTTACAGAGAACCCGAAATGTGACATTATAGTCTGGTGTGTGGCAGCTGGGGGATATTGCCACCTTAAGCCTACCATCAGAGGCACTGCCATTTTCTTTGCTCAGCTCTGGTGTTTCATCCAGCAGAAATTACTGCTGTACCCTTGCGCATGAGCACGAGTTCAACATGAAGATCTAGCGATGATTCCATGAGACTGCGCTATCCTCCATAGCCAAACTCACACGATGAGCGAGAAGATGCTGGTTGATGAAACATTAAGCTACACTTTTGATCAAGTCACAGTTGACTTTAACCACTTAAGGACACATGACATGTCATGATTCCCTTTTATTCCAGAAGTTTGGTCCTTAAGGGGTTAAACACAATGTAGTCCCTACTGTCTTCTGATATTGTTTGAATTTCATCGAAAACCAATGAGTATCTATCAATAAGTATTACATAAATTTTTTTTAATGTAATACTCAAAAGTTATATTGCCACCCAATGGGCCACTCACGGTTGAAATTTGCATGTTTGAGCTTTTCTCATTTAAATTAGAAATAATAACAGTAATATATAATATACGCACATATTCTCATTGCTAAGAAATCAATAGTCGGGTAAAGATTGGCGGAGAAATTAGATGCACTAGGCCTGTCATTTTAAATAGTCTATCAATTATGTTCAAACTTATATTGATAACTGTATACATATAAAAGCATATTACCTGGGCTCAGGTAGCATTATCTTCTTACTGGCTCTAGCTGCTGGCGTTGATTTGCTTTTTTCCATCGCCATCAAATAGCTGACATCAGCCAGCACAGCCTCCAGATCCGCCATGTTTCAGAAGTTTTTAAATTGGAGTTCCAATCCAAGAAATAACCGCGAAACTAAGTCAAAACTATGCCCCAATACTGTGGGGGAACAAAGCAAGCCCCCTCCTTTCACACAGCAGCACAAGGTTTAAAAAAAAAAAAAGCCAATACAGTATTCACAAAAGATAAATATGAAATTAAAATATTCTCCAAATTAAAAAAAAATAAAAAATAAAAAAAAATTCCTTCAGGATAGCACAGTCCAATACTTTAGTCACAAGAAAAAACAGGTTTCATATATATGTATATAGCATTATAGTTGGTTTGCTGTATGGTCTATATTGGGGTCAAAAAAGAACCACAGGTTGGTCATTTGAAATGATTGATCAAGGAGGTTTGATTACTGAGAGTTAATTTAAATGTTTCCACAATATATTAGATGTGTTTGCTCGCCAGTGTATATAAAGTGGAAATAGCACAATCTTTCCTGAATGGGGCCTCCTTTGTGTGTTTAAAAAAAGAAAAGAAAAAAAGGAATGTTCTTGAAGGAAGGATTGAGGATCTGCTATAATAACTACAATACAAATCACTCTGACCTTTAAAATCACAAAACCATTTGTGGATGCTTTGTAAGGAAAAAAATTCCAGCTGCAAACCCCCCTACATGCATCAATAAATTAGGTACTGGATCATTTCAGATAATTTATTTTATATGAGTTAGTCTACAATCCCAGTCTGCATTATAATACTGGATTCAATTTCTGTAGGATTTGTTTTTGTTTTTTGCTACTGCAAAAAGCACTGGATCCCTTCAAGGAATGGACATGGCATTGCTTGAAGAGAAATCAAGCAGTTTTGCATCTAAAATGAAGCTCAAATCCTCTCTCCAACATTTTGTAGATCGAATAGCACATAGGGGGCTATAGATACATCCAGAGTAAGTGTGATCTGTTACTGTGCTTTATATTAAGGGAAAAAAAAAATATTTTTTTTTCTTGCAGTCCTGCGTGTTTTAAATCCCAAGGAAAATGGCTTCCAGATAGTGGTCACCCTGCATGCAAGTGTGGAACGCTCTGATTAATTAAAATAAAACTAAAACACACTGTATGTAGAATGCTCATTAAAAATAAAAAACATTCATCAAAAACTGTCAATAAGAAACGGGTCTCTTCCTTTCTGCAAAGCAACAGCAGACTCAGTAAAACGTGCTTCCTCAAATCCTTTTCCACCAAAATTCACAGAAAACCATTGTTGCTTGTAGGTCTGCTCATCTACAGAGATAGATATAAAAAAAAAATAATAATCAAAGCTGCTGGTTGGGCGGTGGGGGTGTAGAGGGGGGGTTGATTATCCTGCAGCAAAACAACAACCACAAACCCCCATTTAGAAAATAAAAAAATGCCAATAAAAGAAAAAAAAAAAATCCTGTAGCAGGGAGCCCTGTAAACACAATATCCGCTTTCCTCTGCAGGGTTGCAACTGTAACAGCTGTGTGTGATTCTAATTAGATCTCCAGCACCCAGGTCCACAGAATGGAGAAGGTTGTCCCCCTCAAAATGGGTCCTGATTGATGGGGGGCTGATAGTCTGGCTGCTTTTATTTCTGGTTTGTAATGTGCAGAGATCGCTCCCTTTCCTTCTTCCCCTCCGTTGCTGACAGCCTGCTCCTCCTGCCTGTATGCAAGGCTGTCTAAGCATGAGCAGAGGGAGCCTGTGATGCCTGTTACTTCCTCTCCTGTGTGTGTGTCTGTGTGAAACAAACTGTGGCCCTGGATTCCAGCAGCTCACTGGATCTGGACACAAAAAAGCCGAGACTGAAAGCTGTAAGTAGCACAGCTGCTGGCTGGCTGCTCTTAGAGACCACACAACACACAAAGACTCGCCTTTATGGTTGCCATTTGCTCAGATCATTAAACAATAGAAGCATGCCTCTAATGTGTTATTAAAAAAAGTAATACAGAACAATGCTAATTATTATTTGGCAGATGGAGGCTTATAAAACAAGCTGAGGGCTTTGGGGTTATTTAATTTCATGATAAGATATTGTTTGGTTGTGACTATGGAATAAAAGAATGCAGTTACTTTTTTTTCTTTGTGATTTTTTTTGCCTTGTGGCAGCAATGCTATGAAAGAGAGGTATATTGTTCAGAGATATGTTTTGTATATTGGGTTAATGGTGATAAGGGGGAATTCCTATCACACTGTATACAAAGGTTAATCATTGCTATTCCTTCTTATTTGTGATCTCTTAGTTTAATGGTACTTTTGGATGGATGTATAATTAATGTAAACAAGATGAAATGTAAGTGTTTAAAGGTACATTGCACTGTATATTTGTGTGTAGTCTTGTAGCTAAGGTTGCCACATTCCTAAACACTATATCTCTCTGTAATCTGCTGATGGAGATACTGCCATACGGTATTTGGTATTCAGATTAGTCAATCAATTGTTTCATCAAAATGGACAAGTTATATGTGTTAAATAAAACATGGTAGATATGGCAATCCAACGTGTAACTAACATGCAAAATGGCATGTGCTGGATTCCATTTGTCTAGGGGAAGCAACGTTCATTTGCATATTTCACTTCCTGTATTTTCAGGAAGTGGAGGGAGAGCATAGCTGAAACCCGCCCTGTGGTGTTTTTCAGCTCTTCTGATTGTTCTAAGATAGTTTAGGTGATAATAGTTAAATGCAGGAAGTGGAAGACTGAGTTTGGTTAGGGCAGCATGACTGGCTGACTGTACTTACAATCTAGAAATTTTTATCAACTTGCCTCACTTCAGATATTTGTACATTTCTATATTTTCTCTCCTTTGCCCTTCATGTGTCTTTATAGATTTTATTATCATGTGATCTGTATTATTTTGCAAGGCTTTCCACAAAGCCTTGTAGCAGTCATTTATTTGAAATTTGGACATTTCTCTACCTTTTTCTGAAGGTATGACATTGAGAACTGGACAAAACAACAAATAATGGAGTGGCAACACCATTCAATTTCGAAGGTATATTTTTTCCCACCACAGTTGGCTTGGCAAGATGTCTGCACAAATACAAAGCTTTTGACAAACCCTGTACTTGTGTCGAAACATTGTCAAGTCCACTTTGGTGGAATAAAATCCTGTTCAGAATTTAACGGTTTTGCGACTATTATTTTATGTCTTCTTATTGTGAAGATGGTGAAAGGTGTACAGCAGCATGTCAAACTCAAAGTCTTGCATGGGCCACATAAACAAAGCTTAAGTTTATGTGGGCCGCAAAAAAAAAAACTACTTAAATTTTCATAGAAACATAGGTTTATTTTTATACCGCACCCCCTCTACTAAATCCCAGTCCCCCCCATATACTAAATCCCAGTCCCAGTGTTCCTGTTCCTCACTGCTCCCTTGCGCGCAGTTTAGTGAAGCTGGGTGCCGGAATATGACGTCATATTCCGGCGCCCGGCTTCACTTCAGACGGCACGCGCGAGGGAGCAGTTTGGAGCAGGAACACTGAGCTCCCTCACTGCCGCCCGTGTCCTGCTTCATCTCCTCCGCTGCCGGTAAATGCTAGCAGAGTAGGCACATGCAATGTAGGGTGAGCAGGTGCCTACTCTGCTTTTACACGGGGCATGAACTCGCGGCTCGCCGGGCCACAAGGAGGTCCATTGTGGGCCGCAGGTTTGACATGCTTGGTGTACAGGGAGGTCTCAGCAACTAAACGTACTGGACAGAGTGTTGGTTCTCAATATTTGTGGAACTCTGGAATTGGACTAGACAGTCTTACTAGTGATCATATTAGAACATATTATCATATAATAACATATTATCATATGATAATGAAACTAAAATAAGCAATATAGTGACATCAAATATTAAAGAAAGGGACTGGTTATTATTTTTGACATAAAAAAATAAAACCTCTTGTATATTGCATATTTATTTTTTAAACCATAATAGCTATTTATCATTAGCTAAAATAACTATACAAACATTAACATTAACATATGGTGTTTGAATGTTGGGATGTATAGGCTGCCATACACACACATACACACTGACACAGGTGTGCACATACACTAACACACACAGATGCATACAGACACATAGATACACATACACACTGACACACACAAACATGCACATGTCAGTTTTGAATATTGAAGTTACAATTTACTTGTTTACATGTTTAGCCACTCTCCTGTTTCCTTATTATTTGGTGCATGATGTTGTGGGACCTAGATGCAGGATGTTGGGGCAGGCTGGCTAAGGCTGATGGGAATCTGAGGACCTATGTTTCCTCAGTCCCTCTACCCCTCCTCTCTGTGCCAACACCTTCCCTTCAGTACCCCTCTCTCTCTTTCCTAACCCTGATCCTTATCTGTTTCCTAATCTCCCTCAGCTTTCTAACACTGTCATCTCTTTATATTTCCTAATTCTGATCCTTCTGTCTATTTTTTATGACAAACCCCTCATGTTCTTGTCAGCAGGAAAGCTGAATAGTTTGGCACCAACCTGACCTCTCTCTGTGTAACCTCCTCCTCTCCACTTGGCTCTCTGAATGCTAAGAGGAAGTGACCTGAACCTACTTCCTCCCAGCAGGCCACAGGGGAATTAATGATTTTTACAGGAGAGCCAATCAGGTGGCCCTAGTGTGACTGTGAGCTTGGCCCTCTGTAACACAAGTAACACAGGGGTGTTTGGTTTGGTATTTTTTCAGCACAGCTCCACTATGACATCACTTCAGAGCAGTAGGCATGCTTGCTGGAAGAATAATCACAACAGATATAGTGCCTATGCTTTAAATGGACACTATGGTCAGCAGAACAACTACAGCTTATTGAATTTGTTCTGGTGAGTAGAATCATTACCTTCAGGCTTTTTGCTGTAAACACTGTCTTTTCAGAGAAAATGCAGTGTTTACATTACAGCCTAGTGATAACTTCACTGGCCACTCCTCAGATGGCTGTTAGAGATCCTTCCTGGGTCAAGGCTGCCTAAAATGCATCCAAACATTCAGTATCTCTTCCCTCTGCATGCAGACACTGAACTTTCCTCATAGAGATTCATTGATTCAATTCATCTCTATGAGGAGATGCTGATTGGCCAGGGCTGTGTTTGAATTGTGCCGGCTCTGCCCCTGATCTGCCTCTTTGTCAGTCTCAGCCAATCCTATGGGGAAGCATTGTGATTGGATCAGGCTACCACTTCTGCTGATGTCAGCAGACTGCTTGTTTTCTGAGTCTAATAGCATGCAGAGCTACAGCTTCTGGCTTGAATACAATAAGATTTTGCTGTATTTATGGAGGCATGAGGGGCCCAGGGGGGCTAGATGGTGGTGTTAACACTATAGGGTCAGAAATACATGTTTTTGTTCCTGACCTTATAGTGATCCTTTAACTGCTATGAGAGAGTGCAGGAGAACTGCCTGTTCCTGATTCTCTTATGCCACTTGAAGCGGAACTTACCTTTCCTCAATCGATTCTTCTTCTCTCCCTCTGTCAGGATCTGTTCTTCATTTCTTCCTGTCTGCGCTAGTTTTCTTTAAAACATAAGACAAAGTAGGGACTACTTGTCTTATGGAGGTTTCCTACACCTGACCATTTCTGATCAGCGGAGGAGCAAAGTATGCTCCGTTTCCTGTGGTCAGAAAAATTTCCCCACAATTCTTACCTTTCCTCCATGATCTCGCGATGCTTCCTGTCAGTATTCCAGAACGTCCTGTCACTTAGACAGAATACTGGCGACACTACCAAATATTGTCCTAACCGAATGAGAACAGTTTCTCCATTCGTGTTAGGATGCAATTCGGGACTTTCTTCGGATCGGAATTTAATTCGAATGAATGAAATTCCGACCCGATTCGTGCCGATTCCCACGGTATTAGGGAGCTATCTACCAAAAAGCTAAAAGACCTAAATTGGTCTTTCAGCCAAATTTACTAATACCAAGTAAAGATTATGTAATAATAGTAAATTCTGCCCCTACTCGCTATATCGCGAGTAGGGACATGTCTAGTCAAATTGAAAGCAACCAATCAGAGTATTATGAGTCAAATTACACAGCATGGGAAAATTCCAAAGAACTTTCCCACTCTGTGTAAAATAACACAGAGCACTCTGATTGGTTGGATTTCAAGCCAACCAATCAGAGTGCTGTGACAGGTAAATGTAGAGACTTACTTGTTAGTCTCTTCATTTACCTGTCAGAGCACTCTGATTGGTTGGCTTAAACCAACCAATCAGAGCGCGCTGAGCCTAATTGTAGGGCGCGGGAAGGCTTTATAAGCCATTACCTGCCCTACAGAGCTCAGTCTGCTGTGCCCTCCATGAGTGAAGATGGATTATTGTTTTACCGTTTGGAATTTTTTTTTCAGCATATTTTTTTTTCACAGTTCTATGGGTATTGTGGATTTTTATTTGGCCTTTTTTGGGGCTGAAAAAAGAAGACATCAAATGGTAGGTTTGTTTTATTTACAGGTATTTAGTTTTATTGTTCCCCCTCACTATTTTTAGGGTAAGGGGGTAGGTAGAAATGTATTAAATTTTTTTGGGGGTGGGGGTGTCTAGTGGCTTGGGGTTACATTTAGCCCCCACCCACCAGGGGGGGAGGACAATAGGTCCCCCCCCTAATTGTAATTTAGGGCCCCCACCTGCCACTCATGGGT